TTATGCATGATCTTATTAAACTGGTGGGGAGCCCATGAAATAAAAAAACAGCCTGGGGCCCAAGGTTCAATTAATCCATCGCTGATGCATGGCAAAATACAAGAACATTATGAACAAATGAAAAGGCATATTCTGTCATGATAATTTCCTTCTACAGTAATTAATTTGGATAGAGCCGCAAATGAAAATGGAGGTTTATTCTTGTTCTGTATATTTCACATTATTGTAATGCACTGCACTGGCTTATTTTGCATTAATCAGACGTTTTACTCAACTCTGGGGATAAAGAAATGTTTTCATGGTTGGCTAGCTGGGACTGATAGACTGTCTTTACTGATGCCAATCTTCGCTAGATATATTTTGATTGGAGATGTGTGATGAAAGAAATACCCTGAATTGAATGAACACATGTCAAAACACTTCCTCTCAAACATTGGTGCCAACCCAAAGATTTTCAGGCTTAGACAGCAGCACGAAGGCTGCACTGTTTGCTAAAACACATGTTTTAACAAAGAAAACATGATTTATTTAACTGCACGTTAGTAAAATAGGTAGAAGACGAAAACAATCATGCTGGATAAACTTTACAGTATGAATTATTTTTAAATAGTTAAATAGCTTGTTAAAGTGTATGTCCAGTCAAAAAAAAAAAAAAAATGTTCTTGGTTGTGGAACCAGTGGGGAAGGGTTAGACCCATGGGTAAGTTTTTCTCATTAGTTGGTTAGAAAAATTAACCCGGGGCCATGCCAGAGGTGGATGCCATTTTTGCCACCCCCTCCATCATTGGTTGCCACCTGCACAAGAACAACCGATAATTCTGTGCAGCCCGGGAGTTAAGCATACACTAGGCAACTGTACACAGTGGCTGGGCAAGGAGCTCAGTAACCCTGCCCTTTGATTTTATCAGTCTCAGGTTTATTGAGCAGCACTGAGGAAGGAGCGCCCCCCTCACTATACCACTTCCCACCAGTTGGCTTCATTGGTAGCACAACTTTGGATTCACCCTCACCTAATGTCCTGCTGTCAACATTTTACTAGACAGGAAGTGAGGGGAACTCTCCAAAGCAACAGAGACAGAAATAAAAAAAGCTTTTCTTTTAGTAGAACCCCTTTTTTTACCTCACTTCCCATCTGGTGAAAACATTTCAGCAGGATAGGGAAAATCGCTCTTACAGAGTCCCGGATAGCAGTATAAACCCAACAGTTTCTTCTCCACTCTATTCAAAATTAGAAGAGGTTTTTAGCTTGACATACACTTTTTGCATTTAGGATATGCACCTTTTCTCTTGACTACAGGCAAATTTTGTGGAAGCCTAGAATTCAGAGTGGCTTGCTATGCATTGCTATGCTATGTGCTCAGAAACATTTCAATATTTCATTGCGACTGATGGAATATCTGGCAGTGAAGGAAACAATCTTTTTTTTAAACAACAGTTCAACAGATCACATATTTCTCCATTCACAAAGCACAGATGCAATTTTAATTTCCCTGTTATAAAAATTTGATGGCAAGGAAAATAGGTCTCATTGTTATTAGTTCCGCACAAAAGTGTCTGGAAATTAGTTTAAATGTTACCAGTTATAATTGTAATACCAATAAGAGAAGATAGCATACATATTAATGGCACATATACAGTACTTTACTTGGACGGAAAGCTGGCAGAATCCATTTAATAGCGTCAAAGGTTTGTGCAATAAAGTTAACTGGCTTAAAAAGTACTTCAACACAGTTCTGAAAAAAAAGATGATTGTTGACCAACATGAATTACAGAAATAATGGATCTCACAAATTATTTCCAACATTTTGGGTTCCTGAGTTGGAAAAGGTGAAGCACACAGGTGTATTGTCTACGGTTACCATATTTAGTGTACCCATGAATATAAGACTGGAAAATTGGATGCCATGTTGATGGAGACTTTTGTAGACAGTCTTCAACAATGGATATTCCTAAATTTTTCTAGAAAATAAAGTTGGCATCAGCAGTGTGTCTACGCAATAGACAAATATGCATATTTGTCCCAAAACCATTGAGCATTTTTATGGAAACATCTTTCGGGTTAGCCCTAAAGTAAAGTATATTTAAACAAATATTTAAAAAATGAAATACATAGGGATGCACCGATACCGATACTAGTATCGGTGCCGATACCGAGTATGTGGGCGAGTACTCGTACTCGCCCAAATGCTCCGATACCTTCCTTGATACCGGAACTTCTGGTCAGAGGAAGATTTCCTCTGACCGTCAGAGGAAGATTTCCTCTGACCGTCAGTGCCGCAGGGGAACATGGAGCCAGCTTCCCGGGCAATCAGGAAGCCAGGTGACGAGTAATGACTCGCCTTCCGGCTTCCTGATCGGCCGGGAAGCTGGCTCCTTGCTGATTGACCGGGAAGCCGAACAGCCGGCTCAATACTGATTGGCTGGGAAGCCAGTTTTCCAGCCAATTAGCATGGAGCTGGCTTCCCGGCCAATCAGGAAGCTGGCTTCCTGATTGGCCGAGAAGCCGGCTCCATGCTGATTGGCTGGGAAGCTGGTTTCCCAGCCAATCACAATCGAGCCGGCCAAACAACATGGCGCCGGCTTCCTGGGCAATCAGGAAGCTGGGCGGCATGTCATTACCCGCTGCCAGGTTTTCCTGATTGCCCGGGAAGTCAGCTCCATGCCAGCGGAAGCACCGGTATTGGTACTTGGTAACGGCGAGAACCAAAAGCAAAATATTGGTGCTCGTTCTCGATACCGAAAAACTGGTATCGGTGCATCCCTAGAAATATAGTTTGGCCCGCAGCAATCAAAATAAAAATGCATCTTTCACTACAATACTCATTTCCTCTCCAGCACTGTCCCAAAAATGTCCAGAGCCAATACCATCTTTTTGGTTGAATGGTGGCCAGCTTAATTTAACTCACTTTCTGTGAGTCCAAGCTGTCATTGACACACACTGTGTGCTCACATTAGAATACTACAGAGAGGGTTGCTTATGTTATAAGGTCAGTGCTGCTCTCTCCACTGCTAGAAGAAAAGGAAGAGGAACCAGAATGTCACATGACCAGCAAGAATCCTGAATTTTAGGTATGTATAAGGGGTATTAAAGAAAAATAGATGCTGGAGGGAGGTGATGAGAATGGACTTCTTTGTTTTCTAAGTTGGGAATCCACTTTAAAGTTTATCTAAACCCAAAACCCAAATGTTATATTGTTAAGCTTACCCATCCTTAAATTTGGTGGCTGCATTACATTTCTTTTTTTAGGCTTTTTTCCCTTTTATTTTCACCTTCATCCGGAAACAAATTTTGTTGTTTTGCACATGTCTACAAAATATACAATTGTTTTGCACATGTCTACAAAATATAAAATTGTTTTGCACATGTCTACAAAATATACAATTGACAATGTGCATTCTTTTTTCTATCCTAACACATATATTGCTGTCTTTGCAAAAACATTTTTGGAGGAATTTGTGTGCTTTCTTTTATGTGTATTGTATAATAAAGCTCTTAGGGTTGTTTTTATGATTTCATAGGCTAAGGGTTTACAGGTGAAACTCGAATAATTAGAATATCGTGCAAAAGTAATTGCAGTAAGTGCTGCAAAAGGGGCCCAAACCAAGTACTGAGTACATATGCATGCTTGTACTTTCCAGTCCGATATTGTTCTATGTACAATCCTTGTTTTATTGATTGCATGTAATAATCTACTTTTTTGAGGTTGTGGATTTGGGGTTCTTGGGGTTTTCATGAGCTGTAAGCCATAATCATCACAATGATGACAAATCACGGCTTGAATTATCTTGCTTTGCATGTAATGAGTCTATCTCATATATTAGTTTCACCTTTTAAGTTGCATTAGTGAAATAAATTAACTTTGCACGATATTCTAATTATTCGAGTTTCACCTGTATATCTACTTAAATTAATCTAGCGGCAGAGTCATACATATTAAGTATCTGGGGACAAAATGTACAACTTAAGAATTACATTTTAGTAGTATTACATTAAATAGTTTCAATAATGAATCCAGACCACACACATTTACATTGCCCAGCAAAGTATTCCTTTACAATTGTTTGTCATCATGTTTCTTAACAGCTGGCTCTAACTATTCCCTAAACTTCCTGTCCAGTACAAGATCACCAGGGACAGAGCAGTCTCCAACAGCTCTCCAACTACTAGCTTTGAGAAGGGAGGAGAGGGAAGAGCAGGGAAGTGTCTTGCCCTGCTGTGCCTGTGTGTACCTGTGTGTTTGTGGAGACACAATACAAGGGTGCCTCCATAGGACCCTGCAAAGAAAAAGAGCCGCCCTAAAAAAAGAAATTAGGGCCAGTGTACGGGACCAGCTGATTCTGTAGGAAACTAACACGTTTAAACATCAAGGAGCAGCATTCATTGTAAGTGATTTATTTAGCATTTGAAATGACTTTAATGTCACTTTTAGAGCTTAGTAAAGGGTAATTCCACCAATAAATTATATATCCCTTTTGTCTAGCTGAGTCTGACTAATATACATTCTATATCCCTCTGTATCTCTGCACCTGAGGAACGTCATCTCTGCACCTGAGGAACGTCATTTCTGCACCTGAGTAGGGGCGGACTGACCGACCCCCTCCCTCCTGCCCGTTCCAGCAAGCATGGAAGGAGAGGCGGCTGTGTGCGCCACCTCTGTGCGCTTTTCGGCCGTGCCACTGCCAAACTAGTAGATTTGGCAGTGTCCCCCACCCACCAGACACTGCTGCCGCCGCTTTAACACAGCCGTCTCTACTAGTTTGGCAGCAGCGCGGCCAAAAAGAGTGCGGAGATGGCGGGGGTGTCATGCTGGGTGGGGGGTTACAGCTGGTGGATCAACCGCCGGTGCGGCTGCATGAGGGCCCGAGGTTGGGGGGCCCCACTGAGATCCGTTCCCTGGGTTCTGAGCCCCCCACAGGAGGAATGGTACCCACATCTGCCCCTGCTTAAACCCTCCGTATCTGCCCCTGGTGAGGCCTCCATGTCTGCCCCTTTGGAGTACTTCACATCTTTCTCTGAGACCATCCTTATCTGCCCCTAGTAAGACCCTCCTTATCTGCCCCTGGTGAGATCCTCTTTACCTGCCCCTGGTGAGATCCTCTTTATCTGCCCCTGGTGAGACCCTCCACACCTGCCCCTGCTTGATCCTCCACATATACCCTGTTGAGACCCTCCTTATCTGCCCTGCTGAGATTCACATCTGCCCCTTGTGAGAACATCCGCACCTGCCCCTGTTGAGACCCTCCGCACCTACCCCTGCTGAGACCCTCCACATCTGCCCCTGCTGAGACCCCCCGCATCTGCTCTGCTGAGACCCTCAGCACATGCCCCTGTTGAGACCCTCCTCATCTGCCCCTGCTGAGACCCTCCATCTGCCCCTGCTGAGACCCTCCTCATCTGCCCCTAGTGAGATCCTCCTTATCTGCCCCTAGTGAGACCCTCCTTATCTGCCCCTAGTGAAACCCTCCTTATCTGCCCCTAGTGAGACCCTTCTCATCTGCCCTGCTGAGACCCTTCTCATCTGCCCTGCTGAGATACTCCGCATCTGCCCTGCTGAGACCCTCCGCATCTGCCCCTATTAAGACCCTCCACATATGCCCTGTTTAGACTCTCCCTATCTGCCCTGCTGAGACCCTTCGCATCTGCCCCTTGTGGGACCCACCACATCTGCAGCACCCACCTGCTGGACCTGCTAAAGGGGAGCAGTCACCCGTGTGCTGACATGGAAGATGCTGCCCATTAATGCGTGTGTGTGGGTAATGTCCCACGGGGATCAGAATGTGTGTGATGGCTAATCCCAGAGATGTCGTTGTATATGCGTCATTCTAACTGCCCAGTCTTCCATTCATTGATTCTGGTCTGAGGTCTGCATTGCAGTGGTGCTGGTCTGAGGTCTGCCGTGTATTGGTGCTGTTCTGAGGTTTGCTGTGCATTCTGCCATTTAACTCACTTTCCAAATTGCCTATATTGGTCTAGATTTTGGAAGTCTCCTACCAATTCCTTGGCAATTCATCTTTTAGTGAATTGGCCCACTTTTTGAAAAATAATTTCTGTAACACAAGAATGTTTATTCAGGTGGGGCTTGTATATGGGCAGAGCACAAGGGGCCCCCATATTCTTGTATTTTATGAAGATTTTATTACCCACGGTATAATTTCTTATAACTGAAATTAATATATTTTTACATTATTAAAAATGCGAAGGAATGAGGAAGAATATGGTGGGAAGCAGAGAGGGGCATGGGGAAAGACTTACCAATTAAGTTAATTTGAGATGTGAAAAACTAGGGTGATTCAGCTTATCAGCATTAAAACTTCAAACTCCTCATACTGTGCAAACTCTTTTCTTTCATGTTATTCGTGACATTTGGTAATGGTGAAAAAAATTATTGTCTCTTAGCTGTGTATCTCGGTCCCCTTTATTAATTGGCAGCATTGCTGAATCTTTCAAAAAACCAACATTCCCTCAGAGGAACAGGGATAGCGTTTGAGTCATGCTAAAGAAGAGATTTCATAGAAACTAACAAAGCCACAAAGGCATCATATGTGGCCCTAAGGGAACATTACCAGGGTTGAGATGCAATGGTTGAGATGCAGGAGCAGAGACGAGAAAATTCCCTTAGGGCTCAATTATTTGTTAGCAAAAAGCACCAAAAATATTTAAACTGTGCTAAAGGTATCATCACACATCTCACTCAGACCTGTTGATAATGAAGCCTGGATAAGGCTGGATTTACTCAGGCAGCTAAAGTAGGTGCTGGACTTGACCCCTGCCAAGAGCCTCCTACAGAGCTCAGTACACATAGTCAGGGGGTCATGCTAAGTAACAGATCAAACATTATTTGTAATTTGGGTGTGGCTTAAAGCAGCATGATTGATTGCAGGAGTATCAAATCTCTTCTGGTCACCAGTTTTAGTTTGTTAATCAACCCCAAAAACATTTATTATTTTAAAATAATGTAATAAATACTACTTAGAATAATAGTACTACATGTAGTAGTAAAAATTGATATAAATATTCTTGTACTCTTGACACCTCTTGGTATCAGCAGCTGGCATTATGGTTGTTATAAAGATGATTTTTTAGTTAATGCACAGCATTCAATTCTTTTTCATAAACTTTTATCACATTGGGCATAATCATGGGCTCCCAAAAGAGTTTGAGGTGGGGGAGTATACCCTATATGGGAAGGGCACACGTACCTCTATACAGTACTTCCCAGGTTGAGAAGGAAAGTCGCAAACACACAACACAAAGAACACTGCTAAACAAGGCTAGTATCAACCCCCAGCTGATAAAGACAACAGAGACCACTCTCCCTGGTGGCTGACCATCCAACCCTGTGTAACACTGTCTCACTGCTAGGCAACGTACCTTCAGAACTAGGGACTGGCATGAAGTTCTACAGAGCCCTCAAAGGATTAATTTACCCCAATCAACGTTTCATCATTTATGGACCACCTATTGACCCAGACATTTACTGACCCCCCATTTGATCCCCATCCATTTTATTGACCCTTGGGGGTCAATACTGACTACTTTGGGAAACCCTAGTTTAATGGACACACGTGAAACTGAAGCCAAAGGATAATTTTTAAAAAATGAAACCCTTGCATTACATATGCTTTTTTTCACAAATAAATAATAGCAACCACGGCAGTCAAGTCTATGTATTATACGGTACATTTTACAGAGGGGAGTGATCAAGCGTATGTCTAAATTATGCATTGTACAGAGTGGTTACTGTAGTGCCCCTTATCCCGGTGGTCAGTGGAAAAGGGCTTCTGTACATTGGTGGTCAGTGAAAAGTTTGGTTGTAGCAAATATATTTCTTTTTAGAGTTGATGTTTGGGGTTTAGTATTTTAGTTTAGTGTTTTAAGTATATATTTTGAAGGGGAGTATATTTTATTAATATATCATTTTGCTAGGGTCTTTTTAATTTTTTTTTCCGGGGGTCAGCAGAATGAACCTGTTGCTGACACATGCAAAGCTACCCTTTGCAGCACAGTTTTGTGCACTAAATCACAAAACTGTGAAGTGCACCTTCTCCGTCTGCATGCACTGCAACATGCAAGAGGCCACACAGGGAAGGGCCAAACGTAGGCTTCCACTTTGATGTAAGTTTCTTAACCATGCCATCTCTAGCAGCATCCTTGACCAAGCAAGTGTCTCTTTCCCAAGGGCTGGATCCCCCCAAAAAATCATATACTCACCCCAAATTTCTGAATGCCAGCTTGGCAAAATTGATGGTGTTCCTGTTCCAGCTGGTGGAGTCCGGCCCATTCCGTAATTATGTGGCCTATGATTCACCACAGAGACAGATACCCAACAACCACTTTTTCATTAAGAAGACCATCTCTGCCCTTGCCCAGCATAGAGAAGCTAATGTCTCCATGTCACTGGACCACGCTGTCAGCAGCAGGCTCCATATGACACATGAGGCCCAGCAAACATGGGCAGGAATGTTATATCTGTTTTATGGCACACTGGGTAAATTTGCTGAAGGCTGGGAAGGATGCAGGATGGATCATACCACTGAAGCTGGTGGTGCCGTGTCCTGCAACTTGTTGAAGGTTTTAGTTCAGTCACCTCTACCCCTTCTCCCTAATGATCTCATCAGACTTGTCAGAACCACCAGTCCCCCAAGTGACCAACAACAACCCAGGCAAAATGTTCTCACACCGTTTTGCAGCTGGTATATCTGTGGAACAGGTTGTGTGTGACAATGGCGCCAACGTACTGTCCGCCCTTTGACAGGAAAAGTGCACAGATGCACCTTGCGGGCCACACTTCCTCAACCTAGAGTACAACAGTTCCTAGATAGGTACTCTGGCTTCCATGATACCCTACCACAGGCCAGCAGAGTGTGCAGACACTTTAGGCTGTCATACCCAGCGAGTGTCCCTCTGGCTGAAATTCAGAAGCAACACAAGCTGCCTGCCAACTGCCTAATATACAATACACCCACACATTGGAACTTGGCATTGGCCATTCTGAAGCAGCTGCATCCTCTGCAGTCAGCCATCAATGAGTATATGTGAGGATGAGGTGAGGACAGGCTCTGGGGTGGGGTTATGCTTACCAGGTCCCTGCAGGATGTGTGTGCCATCTTGTCATCATTCAAAGAAGTGAGTATAAAGGTGAGCTGCAGTAATGTGGAGATCAGCCACAAAATCTTGTTTTGCTCCTGAAGGTCACTGCGAGGTGCAATAGACTGGGCAATGGAGTCACAGCAAGAAGGATGAAGACAAGGAACCCTGCTGCCTCAGGGCTTGTGGAATCCTTTCACAACTGACTCCATCTAAGTGAGGCATCAGCAAGCAAAGGAGAGGCACAAGGAGGAGAAGGGTTTGGATGCCATTGATGAGGAGGAGGAGGACATGTGGCAGACTTCCAGGAGTTCTGCCCCTCCCAAAACCTAGAACTGTGCATAAGAGGGGTAAGATTGTTGAGGATAGTGTTGTCTCCAGTGACACCTAGGACTCCAATGACTTGAAAATTGGTGGTGAATGCTCATTCTTGCTGCAGTTCCTGCACAAGCACCCCAGGAATTGGATCATGAAAGAGAGTGACAATTACTGCTTGGCCACGCTTTTGAATCCTTGATATAAGGGGAAAATATAAGAATCTTTGTAAGGTGCTGTGGAAGAACCTCTTGGCCACATTTCAAGAGAGTAGGAGGATCCGCTTTCATGACCAACCTGCCTCTGATCCTCAGGTTGGTGAAAGGGGAAGCAATGGTGGTGGTGGCTGCCTCAGTTAGGCTTTAAAAACATTCTTTAGATAAGATGATAGCAAAAAAAAGCCTAAAACAGATGTACTGTATGGAGTTTGGAATAAATGACTATAATATTAGGCTATATTTGCCTAATATGCAGTGTAAAGCAACGATTTGTATGGATTTCCTAAAATGAGGAATAATCCTGTTACTTTTGGGATGTGTGATGGAATGAGACTTGTGTGTACCTTTTTTAAGAAGCCTTTATTACGCTAATCTGAAAAACATAAACCTTAAATTAGAGATGCACCGAAATTTTGCCTGCCAGAAGATTTCGTCTGAAAATGGCACTTTGGGCACATTGTCGAAAGCACCATGATGGACGAAAATTCAGTGTACCCCTAGCTTCTCTCCTCCCTGCTGTGCGAACGGTCTGTGTGCCTTTTGATGCAGTGGCCGGCTCTCTCTACCGCAGAGGAGAGAAGCTTTCAGGAGGCCGAGTAAACGATGACAGCGGTCAGGATACTGAGCAGTGTAGGGCAGTGACAGCTGTCATCGTTACAGGAGATGGAGCTCTCCTCCCGCACCTCCCAGCTCTGCCTCCTGTGTCAAGATGGAGAGGGGTGAATGGAGAAGAGCGCTGTGATCTGTCACAGGAAGCAGAGCTCAGCCTCTTGTGACAGCCAATTTAGGATGAAGAGCGGTATACAAACACTCATGATCATCTGATTGATGTGTTTGTAAATAACTGGACATAGTGTGCTTACTATGTCCCAGTTATGAATGAATGGCAAGTGCTCTACATCACTTACGGTCCATTCATGATTGTGGACATAGTAACTTACACTATATCCACAATGTATGAATAGACAGGAATACTCAGAATGGACAGGAGCACTCAGTATATTCATTCAAAACAAGGAATCTGAGTGCTCAATCTCATTTTCTATTTTAAAAGGGAAATATCAGGGGTCTGTTTAGAAAAATTGAATAATTTAAAAATAATTTCAAAATATTTTAAAAGGTTGGGGGAAAAAACAAAGGTTTCGGCCTGACAAATTTTTTTATTTTCGGTTTTAGGATTCAAAATTCCATTCAGGTGCATCCCTACTTTAAATTGTTTTTTGTCCCCCAAAGTTAAATGAGTGATGTGGTTTAGCCAATGATGCCTCCAAGAGATTGTTGAAATAATGGTTATGCAGTGTGTACCATATTCCTTCCTTTTTTAGTGTAAAAAATAAACATTTTTGTGTATATTTGTCCTGAACAGCTGTATGCGTATCAGTTTTAAAATGTGGCCTAATCCAACTGCTGTAATGCAGTTTATGTAGTCTATATGATATTTCTACAATTTATTGGTGACATACTGTATATAAATGAATATGGATTTTTTGGGAGATGAAAAGCTGGATGCTAAGTGTCATTTTCAAAATGCAGCCTAATCTAAAAGCTTTAATACTGGCTATGAGGTCTGTACAATACTGTGTGTCTGTCTGCTGTCACTGAAATAATACACTCTAGTTTTTATTTCATGATAAAACCTGACCATTTTCTACTTCTGAAATTGCAGCCTAGTAAAATGTCTGACATAGTGTGCGTGGAGCCTGTACTATATTTCTGGTCTTTGTGTTGTGTTACAATTTAGTGTGGACTATTTCTATTTCATGATAAAACCTGCCTTGCCTAATATGCAGTGTAAAGCAATGATTTGTATGGATTTCCTAAAATGAGGAATAATCCTGTTACTTTTGGGATGTGTGATGGAATGAGACTTGTGTGAACCTTTCTGGATTGCATCTAACATATTATACTAACATTTTTATTTTACAATAAAACCTGTCTTGCCTCGCCCTCTTACATTGCAGCCCATCAAACTTATATAATCTCCAGCCACTGCGCCATGTCTGGCTATTATCTCTGAAATATGGGACCATCATTTTAATTTCAGCATAACAACAGAATTTCTTCTCTGGAAATAGATTTTAGATCTGTTGTGGCTACTACATCCACCACTTAAAGGAGAACTATGAGGTCAGTGATTTTCACTCAACCTCATAGTTCGAGCCGACGTGTGACAATGAAACTGCCACACATTGGCTCAATAGAAGTAAGCGAACACATACCGTCGCTCGCTCACTTCTCGATCATGTCCTTGCAGAGAGCTGTGACTGTCACTCACGGCTCCCTGCAGGGATTTCCCCGCCCCCCCCTCTCCAGTCCGATTCTCCAGCACAGACTGGCGGAACAGACGGGGGAGGGGGTGGGTACAGCTGGCTCTGCCTCTAGATAGGCAGAGCTAGCTGTCAATCACGCAGCTGGGTGGATCTCGACAGTAATGTCAGTATACTGTAGCTCGCGATATACTGAGCTTTGGTTGTATAGTAGGAAACCAGCTGCACTCCTTACTGGAAAAAAAGAAAACCTGCAAAGCAGGTGGGTGCTTGTAGCGACCACGGATGGCACCGTGAACATATAGAAGTAGTAGAAATTGTCACCAGCACACCACAAATATGTACAGCAAAAAGTCCTTTAATGACCGATTACCATTCAGTACAAGCGCTTTTCGGGGTCTCAGAAGTACCTCTTCATCAGGCTTTGGGTCACGGGAGGATGCTAGTTTATGTCCTCCCTTAGGAGAACTATGGGAAAAACACTTACCCCATAGTTCCCCTTTAATTCTCTTCTATTTCTGCTAGATCTTTTATATTATTTAGATTAAGATGCTTCTGCAGTATGTAAGCCAAGTAGTGTAAAAGTAAAAAAATGTTTTACAAACAAATTTACCAGTACTCAAAGATCAAGGTGTATACCACAAAACTAGAGACCAATCAGCTTAAGATCAACAGTTTGTATGTATGTATTTGAGGAAATGGTAAACCATAATCAAGAATTTACCTGTGAAAATGGTATCGAAGTAAAAACCAATATGGACTAGTAAAAGACTAGACCAACCTAATAATGTTCTATGCAGAAGTGAGTAGCAATTTAGAGTATATATAATCTATTTGGATTTTGCTAAAGTATTTACTACAGTACCCCATAAAAGTTTAATTTACACACTAAGATCTATTGGTGTGGATGAAATGGTATGTACATGGATAGAAATATGGTTACATGCGTTCAAGGAACAAAATATGACAGCATCTAGCAGAATTCCTTCATCTGTGTTTTTCCCCAGTGCTTGCCTCCTTTGCTTTCTGTTTCCCCATCAGTGAACGCAGGCTGCAGTACTGACTGCCCAGAAGGTGGCGCCCACGGTTTTTAAACTTGTTTTATCTTTTTATTTGCAATTTAAAACAGTTGAGATCTGCCCAAAATCTGCCATGCAGCCATATGCAATCTTCCTGTAGATTGTGATTGATAATTAGTGTACCCTGGCTTGAGAGTAATAATTAATTCATTAAAACATAACACATGCATTTTTTATTCTTTACCATGTATCATCTTTCATTTTTATAATCATTTTGAATAAAGTACTGAACTCAGCTAAAATAACTACATCTTAGTGAACTGTGACATATATGTGCTGTTAACATCACTCCTGCATGCTACCCTCTATGAGATGAGCACAACAAAGTCACCTCTTTTGGGTAATGCTGCAAACACACTGTCACAAAGGCAGCCTACCCAACCTCATCCCGTAGACCAAGGTGGGTGACATCATGTGCGTGAATAGCTTGTAAACAGACCCCCAAGACCCATACAGCTGGAATAGTCTAAAATGACTTTTTATGCAAACTATAAGGATAGCAGTACAGTTATCCTTAAAGCTGAACAATACTTTCAAGTGATATTAAAGCCATTTTTTTTTTTTATTTCTCCTTTAAGGAGACCCTCCTTTGCTGGAGGATGTTGCTTTTTTTCTTTAAAAGTACTCCATTCCTCGTTTTCTAGTGGGTCCCCGCCATGCTCTTCCCCCCACCCCTGCATGGGTGCCACCATCTTTCTAATGGGGGCACCCGTGCGCGCTTGTGCCTGCAGCGGCTGTGTGCGTCCATACACACACACAGCACTGAGGCAGGCCACGCCCCTTCCCTCTTTGATTGATGGCAGAAGGAGCCTATGGCTCCTTTGCCATCAGTATCCTCCCCCGCAACCTGGAAGTTCGGGGCACGGATGATCGCTTCGGGACCGGTGGCGGGGACGAGCGCAGCTGACAGGTAAGTGTGGGGGGACTGGGGTAGAAAAAAGGTGCTGGCCTGTTTTTACCCTAATGCAGTGAATGCATTGGGGTAAAAAAACGCCCAGACCTTAACGCTACTTTCATTTAAATATATTCATATATAGCCACAAAGGTAATAAATCAATTTTGTGTGCACCAACTGCCTTTAAAAATTCAGGTATTACCTTGTAAAAGTAACAGTGACATCAATGCTGTGTTGCACATAGCCTGTGAAACACATCAGAGCTGTGGGAGGAACCCAGTAGGCTCCACCCACTACAGGCTGCCTGCAGAAAACGACAGGAGGGGGTGGATACAAGACCAGTCACCTTGCACAAGGAGAGAGATCAGGAGTGGCTGGCGTTTATTACAAGAAGCTACTGTAAAGAGACAAACATTTCAGACAGGACTACTGCACAGATCTGGAAGATACGCTCAAAGAACACTAAGATTCAATTAAGAATACACATCACTATTTAGACAATATTTGATTATCCCAGAGTTCACCTTTAATATGGAACTTC